TTAAACACACCTGATCCAACTAATCAAGCCCTTCAGGCTTATTTGTAAACTACATGGTATTTGTGTTGGAGTAAAACTCTGCAGGGCTCCGGCCCTCCAGGAATCGAGTTTGACACCCCTTCATTATAACAAACAAAGCATAGACACGATGTAAATAAGAGATTCATTGTGTGACAGAAATATGACAAAATGGGACACGCCCACAACAGGTGAACTCTTTTGGAGAAAAAAAAAAGCACTAACAAAATATGAAAAAAAGTTTCTTATATGGAATATGTAAACATTTGGTTTGCAGGTATCCATGTCATTTTCATGTCATCCAATGACAGCTCAGGGCGTGTGTTCAATATACTTAGATTTTGTTTTAAGTGTCTTATGTTATCGGCGTCTGCTCTGGCTCATGGGCTGGCTGTTTCGTTAGCTTTTGAGCCGCACACACCAGCTGCCCTGTCTCCTCCTGCCAGCCCATCCCACTTTCTGCTCAAGTTACCAGTGATAACACGGCACAGAGGAATCTGTCCTCCTACCCCTCTCTCACTTGGCCCTGGGCCCCTGCGATAGAGCACTAAGCGGGGACTTTTAGTGATGTCAGGGGGTGTGCAGTTTGGACAGTAACCCAAGCCAGTACAAATACAGCCCAAATATATCTACAGCCACTCTGCGGTTGGGGATTGAGTGGGCATCTGGATGAAGATTGGCGCTAGACTAAAGACCAAAGAATAACAGAAGGAAAGAAAGTTTAGGATCTTTGTTTTATAGACTTGAAAAGTGTCCAAAAACCAGTCTGGGATGAACTTCACTTTGGGCTTCAAACCAGCGATGGGAGACTCAAGTTCAGTGGAGAACTTAGAGAAGCAGCTCATTTGCCCCATCTGTCTGGAGATATTCACCAAGCCTGTGGTCATCTTACCCTGCCAGCATAATCTCTGCAGGAAGTGTGCCAATGATGTTTACCAGGTATTGGTTCATATATAGTGTGGAAGTGTCCTATTTTTCATGTTGAACTATCATTCTCTCTGAAGCATCCAAAAATTTCATTAACAAAAGAGCTGTTCAGTTTGTAGTCCTAAAACCTGGAAGATAATCAACATTTTCAAGCCATCTATTCCCTTTGGAATTCTTAATGGGTTTTTGGAATAGCGGATTTGGATTTATGAGTAAAATAAGTTCTGTGGTTAAATTAACTTGAAGAGAATTTCACATTTTGTTCTACACCATATATTACCTCATATTCGCCTGAATGCAAG